GTCATACACTCATTTAAAAGACTGTATCTTCTCTCTTCAGATCTGCAGCTCGAATTATTGATTTCAAGAGTAGATTGAAGAAGTTGCACGTGTGTGTCGATCCTCTTTTCACGAGTCTTTTCCAAGATTTGGCGCATAGTAAATATCTGGTCAGTTGTTGATTTTCCAGGCCTAAAGCCACACTGATAGGATTCAATTAGTTTGTTGACGGTGAGCTTTAATCTTTCACACAATACGCTCGATAGAACATAATATGCGATATTTAGGAGACTTATAACACGGTAGTAGGCGCAGATTGTGGGCTCGTCATTTTTGTGAATTGGGCAGAACACACTTTAATTAAAATGGTCAGGCATGCTTTCGCCCGACCACATTCTATAAAGAAGCTAACTCATGCTCTCCCCCGCTTTGTTGTTCTTTAGACGGGTAATTGCTATTCGATCTTCTTCATGGTTGGGCAATTGAACGTTTGGTCTGGACGAACGAACGTCTGCAGAAGTATTTCCTCCATAATTTCAGTGTGCTCTGGACATCAGTCACTAGATCATCTCTGGGTGTTCTACAATAGTAGGCTTCCAACTTGAAACCTTCTGTGAGTCGCCGCATCTTTTCGTGGAATTTTCGAGCATTACCTCTCTCGGCCAGCTTGTCAAGCTCTTAATACTCACGCATTTCGGTCTCTCTCTTTTTTTTTTTAGCTGCAAATAGGTCTCGCTTCCATCTTCAACTCTTGGTATCTATCCCATACCGCACGTCGATTATAATGTTGCGAAGGGAGGCAGTCTGTTTTCGTTCTACTGCCTTGCGGCACCTCTCATCGTACCAGCTGTTCTTTTGCATTTTCCGAAATCCAATGATTTCGTTTGCAGCCGTCCCACAGTTCCCTCAAATCGAGTTGCTGATGAGTGCACTGAGACAGCAGCAGCGCAAGTCGAGTAGAAAATCGTTCAGCTATCTATTTTGATTGCAGTTTCTCGACGACGAACCTTCCTTGCGTTTGTTGACGTGCGTTTTTTTTTTTTTTTTAATAGAACCGCTATCGGTAGAATGGGAGCGGCTGGTTGCTCCCGTATCCTCTGGTGTTCTACTACTAGATAACTGGGCTTCGCGGAAGCTTGGTCAGAGTTGGGTCACCATCAGTACTTGCGATGTCGTAAAAGCCTTTTGGTCCAAGATTGATCGCAATAGATCTAATAATATCCATCCCCTTAGCAAATCTAGCCTCTCTCTAATTGTAGAGCTTTTAACAAGCCATTACCCTATTGGTGTCCATGCTGTCAGGTTTAGAATCTTACCGAACTGTCCCGCGTTAAGAATCTCACCGAAATGACGGGAGTACAAAATCAACGCCTCTCATATCCTATCTAAGCTCGAACGCAGTAGTTCTTCTTTTCTATGGTATCACAAAGGACTACATTTACCAGCCTACGTGCGATCTTCGATCAGTCATCTAACCTAACCTAACCTAGATGAAACACAGGGCCAAACTACTTCCTAGATTCGTATCTCACTTTATGTTTTAAACCCTCGTGGTAAAATTTAAATATTTTTAAGCACTTCGAATTATAGTAAAACTATTCAAAGTATATTCTATTGCTTTTCTTTTATTTTTTTTTTTTTTTTATCGGATCCATTCGTGCTTTGACTTCACTTGTTAACTCTAAATCATATAATAGCTCTCTATTTCAGACTGAAACCAAGCAATTACAATTTCTTAAATCCAAAAAAAAAATTTAATTTGTGTTAATTCGTTTTCTACAATGTAATCACAAAAAATTAAGCAACAACTTGTTGTTGTAAAAACCTGTCTTACGAGCTGCACACAGTTGACGATTGGCACTTGAACTTCAATCTAAGTCCAAGTGGCGTAAATACTAAATTATCCAATAGAGGATAAATAAAAATTAAATTAAACACAAAATGTATATGTATGTGTGTGTGTTTATGGATAAACATATAACTGAATAGCTTTAAGGCAGACTTGAAAAGCATAAAAAAGGTCTCTAAAAACATAAAAACGTTAAACATTTTTATATAATATATATGTACATATGTAAATATGTGCATATGTAAATTAACTTCGCGCATAAATAAATATTTTCTGATGTATTTGACCATATAGGTATATATAATATCAACAGATAGCCAGTTAATAGCTTTGCATGCGGTAACTTTCTCTTGAAACTTTAAATGCTTATGAATCTCGATTTAGGATTGCTATTATTTACACAATTTCAAAGCAAAAAGTTTTGACGGGTTTCAGGCTGATCGTTAACGTAAAGTTTGCTGAGCGCGTAACATTTAAGCATTAGATGGATATCATGTACACGTTCGCAAGAGATATTTATATACTACTTATATATAATGGATGATTATCCAATTATCTAATTGTGTGCATATTAAAGGGTGTTTATTTTAGACATATAGTTTTCAGAATTTAGCCCAGAATTTAGCTTTATTATAAAGATAAGTGCTTGTCGTTTTATTTTAAACATGATTGTAGGCTAGCGACGCCCGTCGCCGTGGCTTGCTCGAGTGAATATCAGCCGAGAGATCCAATTTTGCAGCAATTGGAGCCGTATATCGGCAATACCGAGCCGAATATTCTCTTCCAAGGCATCAGTCGTCTCGCGCTTATCTGCACAGACAAGCGATTACACCTGCACTCACAAAAAATAGTCTAACGGTGTTAAGTCTCACGTTCTTGGAAGGCCACATCATAGTTCCCAGACATAAGATAATGCGCTCACCAGAAGTTTTTGGTGCAAAAAATTGATTTATTCGTTGGCTCCACGGCGGTATGTACCGCCTTTTGGAATCAAAGGTCGTCCATATCAACCTACACCAATTCGGCGCTGGAAAAGTATTTTATCGTAGTTCCATAGCGTACACCCTTTAAAACATCAGTGAAAATTATAGCAAACTAATTGCGTTTTCGAGTGCAACAAAATCGCTTTTACGTAAGCAAATTTAATATTTATGACTAGCTACTTACATTCCGTCTTACGTTTGTATATGTACTGCTGATATACAAATTTATTGACTCGCTTTGATTTTTGATGCACTCACTCACTCATATTTTCAACATTTCATTCCAAATTCTCTGTAGCTTACTGTACTGCCGACTTCGTAACTTTTGTTTTGTATTGCTCGAGAGATCAATAAATTTCGTTATTTACGAAGCATTATTTCATGCGTGCGGCTGCTTCGGTTGGGTGCACAGTGACGATTTTTTTTTTTTATGGTTTCCAGCTTTATACTATCAATAGCTCGTACCATCTTCGCAAGAAGAATCGAAATCGTTTGCCTAAAATAGTACTTACTCGGCCACAAAATCATTCTGGCTCAAAGTAAATATTCAAGCAAGATTGATTTTTTCCTATTTTTCCTATTTGTAGGGATTGTAAGTAGCCTTTTCGAAGGCAACATATCTACACACTTCCTTATTGACTATTTGAAACATGTCGGATCTCAACCCCGCAGACAACCAAGTGAGCTACGTGAATAGAAATAAAACGTTTAAGCAGATTTTGTTTGATTATGTTCTATGAAGTCTTTACGTAGTAGAGGGCTCTAGAAAGGCCACTCTTGCAAAGAAATTCGTAAGCGTTCAACGATCGGTACTCATCAGCATGTAAAGTGCACTAATGTTCACCCCAACCATGGCACTCAACGCCATCCTGCACATATTTCCCGTGAACATCGCCGACATGTGTATGGATGTGAAAGCGATCTCCTAGGCGGAGGTTGCAGCCATTAATGTAACAGTAGATTTAGCACATGCTGTAAAACCTTAAAGCCGCTATGGGTAGAATAAGAGCAGATCGATGCTACCGTATCCTCATGCGGTCTACTAACAAATAGCTGGGCTTCACGGAAGCTTGGGCAGCGCTGGGACACAATCGGTCCACGCAAAAGCCTTAAGTGATCATTGCTCTCAATAATGCTAGCCGCTCCCTATTAGTGGGGCTTTTCAGTTCCATTGCCCTATTGGAGTTCACGCAGTTAGGCTGGCAATCCTAAGAAGCTGTATGGAAGAAGATGAGGTGGAAAAAACTCAACACTTCCTTCTTGACTGTCCCGCGTTTGAGAGGCTAAGACTTAAAAAAATATAGTATAGTTCGAACATAAAAGTCCTTCTTTTCCATGATATCACAAAGGACTACATATATAGTATATAGTAGCCCACGTGTCATCTTTTGATCAGCCATCTAACCTAACCTGAGGATCTTTTATTAAAGTCTGGTTAGCAGCCATCTGCCAGTTAAGTTCTGATTTACTTAAACCAATATTACTTCTTTCGGTAATGAACCTTTTTTTTTTTAACCAGTCCTTAACTGACAGATGACTGCTAACCAGACAATGAGAAAACGACCCTAAAACTATAAATCACATTAAAATGTTGTTGACACCTTCTTTGGTTACCCTGATCTCGATTTGTCAGTAATAAACCTAATGAAACAGATAAGCAATGAACTTTCAAAGGAAATCTAGTCTTGAGTCTAAAATTTAATATGAAATCTTTGAGAACATCTTCTTCTTCTTAATTAACGTAGACACCGCTTATGCAGTTATAGCCAAATTTACGACAGCAAAGACGTGCTTCCTTTTAGCTGTTTGGCGCGACGACCAGCGAATACGATATTCGCCGTTACCAATGCGCAAAAATATTTCTGTCGGAAACTCTCAACGCCTACTCATCAGATGTTATCCTCTACTCCTTTGCACCATATAGCAGAACGGGAATAATAAGTGACTTATAAAGTTTGGCCATTTGTCAAATGCTTATTCAGTCCAAACTCAAACAATAGTAGGATGTACGAAGTAGCAATTTTTACAAGTTGCCTTGCGACCTTCAATAGCACACTGACATGTAAAAATATTAACTAACATCATTTATCATTTTCTAACTACTTTTTAGCAATAATTTTCAACAAAAATATTTTCAAAACAAACATCTGCGCCTTATTAACCTCCTTCTTCTCTTCTTTTGATTGCAGCAACCTAGCTTCTCCCATCAAAGCATTTTATACGGGCAAAAATGTCTTCATTACCGGCGCCACTGGCTTTGTGGGCGTTACCATTGTTGAAAAGCTATTGCGCGATATACCCGAAATCGGCACCATCTATCTGCTGATGCGTCCCAAAAAAGGCAAGACGGTGGCACAGCGTTTGGAAGACATACGCAAGAATTCCGTTTTTGACAAGTTCAAAGAGTTGAAAATCGATGAGAAGCGCTTTGATAAAATTGTGCCCATTGAAGGTGATGTGGGTCAAGAGCATTTGGGCATCTCCGAAACGGAACGTCAGGTGTTGATCGACAATGTGCATGTAGTGTTCCATTCTGCTGCTACATTGGATTTCTTTCAATCGCTCAAAGAGACAACAAATATTAATTTATTAGGCACACGACGTGTGGTGGAGTTGTGTAAACAACTGTCCAAATTGGAGGTGAGTTTAAGTTAAGTTTGCCACGAAATTTGTTACAGAAAGAAAGAAAACGTCGGAAATCATGTCAAACCATATACTTACATATGTATAAATGATCAGCCGTAAGAGCTGTGTCAATTTACCCTTATCTGTCCGTCTATGTATACGCGAAGTAGTTACTCAGTCCATACATCTTTTTCTCCCCAAACTGACCGATCTAAATGAAGACTTAGCGGGTACCTCGTCTTTATTTAGGACGGTAAGGATTAGCTAAGTTGTCGTCGACCTCATTCAACGGAAGGCCCAAGAAACGTGCTGTTTTGACGGGGTCAAACCGAAAGGAGAGGGTTGTCAGATAAGTAGGTTTGGTGGCGCATGCAAAGAGGTGGCCAGTGTCATACAGAGAGGATTTATTGGAGGATAGTGTTAATTTCCATGCAAAGTAGAAGAGAGAAAGGTCGGAGAGATAGCCATTTACCTTTGGACACACTCGATCGATTCCATTGCCCGACGTCAATATCATGCAATCATAAACTTACGAGATGACTGTGAGAGTTTTGAGGTATAGCGTGGAGAGAACACCATCCTGCGGAACACCCTGTTTAATTATTCTCAGTTTTGAGTTTTTTCCTCGAAATAGTGCGGATGATTGACGACCGTTCATGTAGTTCTTAGTCCATCTCTTCAGTCTTAGAGTGAGCGTAGTATTTTCGATGTCCTGCAGTAGCGTTATGTGACTGAATGTGTTAAAACACACTCACAGGGTGGTTTCTGGTTAAGGCCACGAACTATCAGGGCGTTTATAACGCTACATAAATGCTGTGATGGTACAGTGCACTTTTCGGAAGACATACTGGTGGTTTGCTAGGCACAGGTGGTGAGTGAAGGTCGGGAGTAACAAGGCCTCCAGTGTCTTCCCTAATAGGGAGAGGAAATTTATCGGACGATAGGACTCCCCTTTGTGGCGGGTTTCCCAGGTTTCAGTAGTGGGACCACTCTTCCGAGTTTCCACACAAAGGATTTGGACGATTTTGCCTTGTTGATGACATTCTGAACCTCCTTATCACTGAAAGTAACTGGCAGGAAGTCTTCGGGTAACACATCGTTTGATTTTGTCTACAGAAGGGTGCAGGGTAAATTTACGTTATTTTTCTCGCATGGCCATTGAATTGAATTTCAACTCGGTCATCATGTCTCTTCAGATTAGGCACAGCCATGATAGTTGACCAAAGTTTACTCACGCCGGTGGAGCGGTTACAGGGCTTCAAATACTCTATCCATTTCGTCCGCTTGTGTTGATTTACCATTTGTCAAATCTCCAAATTGAGATCCCTTACCTTTAGGTAAGGCGTAAGGTATCGCTTCTTCGGCTGGGAAATTAGGGCGGAGTTCCACAATTCTTCTAGCCGTGATGAATAAAGCGGTAACTGTTGCAATCATCGGTCACGTCCTTAGAAATGGATAAAGCGATGAAAGTGTTCTCTCCTATAGCTGTCATACAAACTGGCTGGTCAAAATGACTTTCTTGTATAAAAGACTTTTTTATTTGACAATGATTTTAAATATATGTTGTATTTTTCTGTGCTTTCTCCAGGCTCTTGTACATGTCTCCAGCGCTTATGTAAACTCCTATATTACTGAAGTGGAGGAAAAATTATATCCATCTCCAGATGATCCAGAAAAGGTCATACACTTGGCTGAAACGCTAAGCGATGAGGCGCTCAAAGAGTTAGAGCCCAAGTAAGCCCATTTTTTAATTACATATATTATTTGTTTGTTTTTGTCAAGCATAATCAATTTGAATCGCATTAATATGAAAACTTGTTATCAAAAGGTTGTTGAAAGATCATCCCAACACGTACACGTTCACCAAACACTTGGCCGAACACGAAGTGGCCAATGTGGCCTCACGTTTTCCATGCGGCATTGTGCGACCAAGCATGAGTAAGCTACAAAACAAATAAAAGAAATCTTAATTTTTTATATTTTGCTTACATACAAACATCTTGATACATAATTGCTATTAATTGTTAATATATTTGCATTTTGTTCCACCCATCTGCAGTCACTGCCGCCTGGAAGCAGCCAACGCCCGGTTGGACAATCTCGAAGAATGGCCCACAAGGCTTCTTTATGGGCGCTTCTCGTGGCATTCTGCGTCGTTTACCTTTAGATCCGACCATTATCATGGATTACATACCTGTCGATGTGGTGGTGAATGCAATCATCGCAACCGGTTACTATGTAAATGCACTCAAGTAAGTATGAATACATGCTATGTTTCAGCAAAACTAGTATGTGTAAACAATTCTAGTGTAGCAAAGTCATTGACTATTAAAGCCGGCACTCAAAACAGACATATGTACACACACAAGCACGAGTAGGTACTCGTAAAAATAAATATACCATACAAAGTTGTCACGCAACATTTTGCAGTCACTTTCTGTATTTCTTTTCATACAAAAATGTTTATAAACGTTCAAAAATACATACGCACTTGTGGTCTATGTTTATTTGTGCTTATGATTTACAGGTTTAGGCAAAGTTTTGTGTATGTACATACATACATATGTACTTTACTAACACACATAGTTGTACGCCGGATGAGTGATAATAGATTGAAAATTAACAGAAAAAATCCAGAGTTCGATTTAGGAAAAATTTACACATTCAATTTTTGCCTAAAAATTATAAATTTGCATGGAGAATGAAAAAAAAGTTTTATCTATTTTTATTATTATTTTATTTTTGCAATATAAATT